TTTCATTGTTGAACGCTGATTCCATTCCTAGGCACCACAAGGTCTCTGTTCTTGTAGCTGTCTCATTTATTTTTTATAACCCTCTTTGCCATTACCTTAAGACCTACAGTACAAAAGTCACTCTGTCAGATAAGAGAAAGGTATTGCCAGGAAGCAGTGTAGCTCAAGATACTGACTTAGACTTTATCTTCGTTCTTTAGTAATATGTGTATTTTTAACATGGGTCATTTCTTGCAAACCCTACAGCATCTTGAAGGAAGTCCATGTTTGTGGCTTGATCTTTTATTTTTAAATTTTGGTAGCTCAAGGGAGGATGTTAGGCTCAGGATTTAGGAGTGAACTGCGGGAGGAGATTAGTAAACTTATCTGAGTATGCAGGAATAGAGGGTGGAATGGGGCTACATGCTTATAAAATGTCCCCTGCAGGCCACTTTCTGGCTTGGCATGGATGGGGTAATAAAAAGGAAGTAATTAACACTTTCAAATCTCATCTTGATATAGACGCGCATCCCCATGCAATTGTGCTGTAAGATGGGAAGGACAGCTGGGAGGGCAGGTTTAAAGAAGGAAGAATAGGCTGCCGAAATTAAAATGGCTAAACAGCTGAAAAGCAGAGCTGGTTGCAAAATGGTAACAATTTTGTGAGTTTGTTTTATTGACGATTTTTAAAAATTCTGTATCTTCCAAAATTTTCAGCCAGCTTCAGTGAAAAAGCACACAAAGTACCTGCAGTAAGCTGTAGTTAGAGGTGGGTGTTTTTTTTTTTAAAGTGTGTTGTAGGTCTCTTAGCAAGTATGGGTATGTCTACGCTACAGTTAAAAAACCCGTGGCTGGCCCTTGCCAGCTGACTCAGGCTCGCAGGGCTTGGGCTGTTTAATTGGGCTTAGGTGTGTCCAGTCTCAGACTGGAGCTTGGGCTCTAGGATCCTGCTGCAGCCCAAACCAGAGCATCTACACAGCGATTATACAGCCCTAAAGCCAGGGCCTTGCAAGCCCAAGTCACCTGGCACAGGCCACCTTTGGGTGTCTTAATTGCAGTGTAGACATACCTTATGACATCAAAAGTAAGATGGAGAGGGAAGTGGGAGTAAAAATAGCTACAGTATTTCAACAGCTGTTGGGGATGTGTATCTACCAATGGTATGTGAGTTCATATGGGAGCTCATGGGTTATATTGGTATTCTTTTAACTGAGAACAATTAGTTATTATCTTCCCATCTCACTGCCTTAGTGTCTTGCTCCTTCATTTAATTGCTTTTTGCTAAGCTTCTTAGACAATATTGGAACTTAATGACATCCATAGTTTGACAGCGTTTGTTTAGAAGGTTAGATACAGTGTGTACAGCAGTTCTGTTTATGTTCATTGTTCCTGTTTGAATGATCATTTACCTTTTTACAGTCATTCGCTATGTGTGAGATTCAGCTGAGCAGCTGCAGTTCTATGCGATATGGTCCGTTAACCAGCCTGAAGGCCCTGGCTGGTGCAGGAGCTCACCTGACTGCTGAAATACTGTAAAAATGACACTGCTGCAGGGGGACTCAGTGGGAGGTCTCATTTCCCCAGGCTGAACAAATAATTCAGATTCCAGTAATGTGCACAAAAAACCAACATCCAGCAACAACAAAAAGAAGGCTGCTAAGGTTATGAACGATTAAAAGGGGAAAACAAAATGAGGTTAGAGGACTGTAAAGGGTCTGATTTCAAGATGAATTAAAACGCCCTTGAAAATGAGAGCTATAAAACTTTCACTTCATCCTGGGGGGAAGAATGAACCCTTTCAGTCAATGAATAAATAAAATAAAAGCCTGAGGGCAGATGCTGTAAAACTCTCAAACCCGCTGGGAGATGCTGAGGAATGAGCTGGAAAATTCCTTGAGTCACCCCAGTGATAAAACATCCTGGGGTCTCCTTTGGTAATGCTTCCACAGTCCTAGGCTTCTGCGGTTCAGTGCCTGGAATGTCAGGCACTTGGGGACAGCAAAGGGAGGAAGTGGTGGGAATGGGATGCCTGATTCCGGAGCAAGAGATACATAAGGTGCTCAGGGCCTCACAGGATGTGGATGTTTAAATGCCGGAATTATCAATTAACTCTAGCACCCTGAAGTGCAGGTGAGGTGGTTGTTTCTTTGAGTTGTTTCCCTGAAGGGGGATTATCTGGTGTCCAGAGGTTGGGTATGATATTGCCCAGAAAGAGAATAAAAACAACAGTGCTCATTGTTAAGCTTTTGTTGTTCTTTATTTGAATTATGGTGACGCCCGGGAGCTCCTGTCATCGATCAGGGCCTCATGGTGCCAGGCGCTGTACAAACAGATGGTCCCTGCCCCGAAGTGCTCACAATAAGTATAAGGCAAGAGACAGATGCATACAACAGACAACAGGAGCCCAAGCACGCAATGAGACAGTTCTAGTCATCATGTTAGGGAGTGGTCTCAGGACACCAGCTGCCTCTTTAGTGTCAAATTTTTGGGAGGCAACTTCAGTATTAGCTTTGGCTGTATTTACTGCAATTTCATATTTCTTGTTGGTACCAGAAACATGCAGCTACCGGGCTGAGGAAAGGTAGGGATTGGAGGGGAAAAATTAAAAACACTCATGTAATCTTCCTATGGCACCCCCCCCTTTTTTTTTAAATAGCAGACTGAGGTCATCCTGCCACCAAAAGACCTTTTTTAACTACAGTTATGTCAGGGGTCTCCAAGTCATGCTGCGTCCAGAGCTTTAGCACAGTTCAGTATATGTTCAGTGTCCCATCTCTGCTACAGGATGGACCAATGTGGTAGCCAGGTCAGGAGACGAACACATAGCCTGATCCAGTGAAATTTCTGGTGTGGATGGGCCCACAGTATTTTGATTTTGTGGTTTTGCCCCATGCTGACTCTAACAGCACTATCCAATCTCTTGCTATGGTGAATAAGCCAGTGCAGTAAATGTATTCCTATGACTACATCCCCTTCTTTGGGTTTTTTTTCCCCCTCTTTTCCTTGACTTGATGCAAAGTGTCACAACAGGCTGCTCCTGAAGTCTAATTATGACTTACATACACTACTCACCATGCTGTCTGTTTGTACAGCTAGAGAAGCCCCAGGAGCGTAAAGCCACGGAAGCATGCTGAGTTTGTTCTCTTGTGACACAGGACTTTGATTAGGCAGCTCAGGCCAGGGTTCTAGGTCAGGGTTCTCAACCAGGGGTACGTGTACCCTGGGGGTACACAGAGGTCTTCCAGGGGGTACATCAACTCATCTAGATATTTCCCTAGTTTTACAACAGGCTACATAAAAAGTACTAGCAAAAATCAGTACATACTAAAATTTCATACAGGCAATGACTTGTTTATACTGCTCTATATACTATACCCTGAAATGTAAGAACAATGTTTATATTCCAATTGATTTATTTTTAGTTATATAGTAAAAATGAGAAAGGAAGCAATTGTGCAGTAGTATGTACTGGGACACTTTTGTATTTTTCTCTGATTTTGTAAGTAAGTAGTTTTTAAGTGAGGTGAAACTTGAGGGTACGCAAGACAAATGAGCTTCCTGAAAGGGAGTCTGGAAAGGTTGAGAACCACTCCTCTAGGCTGCCCTTCAGTGGAAGGTGACGATCCCAAGGCACTTACAGGTTTGAGCAGAAGGTAACCAGTTCTGGTCAATGCCTTGCTCTGTAAAGAAGGATTTTGTTTCCAAGGCTCTATGGGGCAGAAGGGGGATCCATTTGCCCAACAGTCTCTGGAAAGCAGCTTGAGATACTGCAACAGTCTGCAGTTTGGTGTTTTACCTTTTATGTTTCATGGTACATTAGTCTGAGATGCATCTGTTTATTTCTAGGGAACCACTGAAAATGTCTGCTCCTTTCCTTGCCCAGGTTGCACATCTGCTTCTGGGCCTGATGTGAAGCAGAACAGCAGTAGAGTGGATGGGGTGGGGAGGAGAAATAGGGCATCTAAGTTCAACAGTGTTCCTGGCAGATGGTATATATTACTTGATAAAAGGGAATTTGCCACATGACCTATTCACAATCTGTGTCACATGGCAAATTGATAGGAGTTGGCATTTTGTGTAAGACTAAATCTAGATCATTGTAGGAGCTGTGGCAAGAAAGTCTTCTGCTGAGGAATCCACAAAAATTGGAGTTTTTCCATGAGGACTGGATGGTGCTTACACGGGTCTGATCCTAATTTCCTGTCTGCGCTCCTATCAAGTCTCATTTTCCTGTTAAAGGGGATCAGCTTTGCTCCTCCCTTAAATCCAGCGGGATGGATAGTTAAATCACATAGTGGAATTTCAGTTGTATTGAGAAGCCATCTGGAGAAAACTGGTTGGTGAAGTGGCCTGAATGTTACTGTAAACCTAATTACATCTACTGGGTCTTACTTTCAGTCCAGTCTTATCTGGATCTTTCTTTGTAACAAGTTTTGCACTGCAGTTTCTGTGGGTGCATTGTGTCATGTAGCTTTCTAAATCCAGGGACGCTCAAATGCATCAGTGCTCTGCACATGCAGAGATCAAATTACCAATCATAAAAATGCAGGTAACCCTGGGGTAGAACGTGCTATTTCTTTAATAGCGTACAACAGTTTAAACCAAGCAGGGGAGAAGAATTCCATGTTGAATTGAAGCTACAGAAAGAATGTTGGGTAGACTGAATGCAATTGCTCAGTTTCAGATTGGCCTGGATAGGGGCGGTAACACCATGGCTCGTTTCTAAGCGTTGTAGATCTTCATCAACCACAGTTAGTGAGACCCTGTTTTGTGTCTCATCTGAGAAATGGCATCTCCTGCAGTGCAGCTCCGCTAACACCATACTTCAATGCTGACTTCAAGGAAAGCCTGCCTGCCACCAGTTACCAGCACTACTTCCTGCACCTCCTTGGTTTTCCTTTGTCTCCTATCCAAAAAGCAACTAGGGAAGCAGCCCATCTGTGCTTAGCTTATGAGATCTGACACGATCACAGGCCCTCAGTAACATGGTCAACTCTACACTGGCCCTTTTTTCTTTTTAGTCCCCCAGGTCCTCAAGAGCTGTACCGAATTCATTGAGAAACATGGCATTGTGGATGGAATATACCGCCTGTCAGGAATTGCGTCCAATATCCAGAAGCTACGGTATGATTGCATTGTATTCGATGAATCCCAGCACATGCTCTTTTAAATGCTTTGGTTTCAGAATCCTAGAGTTCAGTGATGACAGGCGGTGGGTGTCTTGGAGAACAGATGGGGAGGTACCATCACAGCAGCTCCCCAGTGCTCATATCTGCTTCATGAACAACATGTTGTAGCTCTGGAACATTTAAAATCCCACCTGTCTCTTTTTCACAGAGGTTCTGAAGTGAAATGACAAACTTTGTCTACATGACAAAGTGTGACTTGTTTAACTTAAATCACCTTTTTAAACCAGTTTATTAAACTGGTGCAAACTCCCTGTGTGTAGGCCCTTCCTTCAGTTTAAGGGCAGCATATTTTGATTTAGCCGAAACCTGTTTCCAGTTGACTTAAACAAAACTTAAAGAAAGGCCACTCTTAGTCTGAAATAAGTGGGTCCTCATGGGTTTTGTATTAATTATAACTATATCAGTTTAAATTCCCACCTTTAGTTTATACCAGTGCAGGTTTCCCCATAGACAAGGCCTTGACAATGCTTAGACATTGCCTGTCTTTCTAGAATAGCATCAGCACATCTCCAATGGGCAAGGAACCCGCACCCTTGCGGTGGAGGTTGCTCCCTGAAGGAACTCATTCTCCTTTGCCTTCACCTCAGTCCACCCCACTTTACTTTTAAATAATATCTTAAAATTCTCCCTGCTCCTTCTCCAAAGAGCTTATCTGTGGAGTTATTCAGCCACAACTATTCTGGAGTAACTGTTCTTGAATACCTCCGTCTTTGGGGGTCTCTTATTCTGGAATGCGTGTCTTGTTCTGGTTTAGCTTTAACTGACTTTGAAAGTGGGATTAAGCTACACTGGACCAAGGCACTCTTATTGCAGAATAAGAGTGTCCACACACGGTGTTATTCAGGAATAGCTGTTTCTTAATAACTCCATGTGTAGACAAGCCCTTAGAGTAGTGGTTCTTGGCCCACGGGTTGTTTGTGACCCAATCAGCACACAGCTGCATATGCGGCCCACAATGGTAAATAGGTTGAGGACCACTACCTTAGAGTGACTTTTGCTGGCCCCACATCTTAACATTTTTTCTTGGGTCTGACCCAGTCTGTTTTGTTCCCTTTTGAAGTTTTCCCCGGGTGTTTTATGTTTTCATTCCACAGTTCCCCACATGCAGCGCAGGAGGCTCCTTAATTATGAACAATAACAACTAACTGCCGGGCTAGCTTACCCAACTGCTCGATGGGTTTTGTTCTGTCTACTCTTGGCTGCCTTAGCCCCACGAGCTGGTTTGCTTTTACTGAGATGCTCTAGGATTCTTTCCCTGTGAATGGTGGGAGAACTTTTCCACCCTTTGGAGGGAATTGTGGGGAAGGCACTGGAGCACTATCTGCACTCAAGTGATTTAGCCTGCATCCTCATTGCAAAGTGGGTGTGTTCTGGCCTGAGTTAAAGTGGAGCTGGGGTTCTAACCCACTCCTGTAGCTGGGTAAACTAGCCAGGGGTTGGGCTCAAAGGATCTCCAAACCTGGCTCAACATGTTTTCTGTAGCAGTGGAATTTGGCCTAAAAACCAGGTTAACTGTGCAGTGAAGACATTCCCACGAGGCTACAAATATATCTACGGCTAAGGACACAGGTACAAGATTCTCCATTATGTTGTACAGGGAAGAACTTAATGCTTTGACTAGGCCCTAGAAGTACGCCAAAGCGTTCAATGTGGTTTGTCTTCCATGCATGTTACAAGCCAGAACGACAGTATAGCTGTGTGAGAACCAAGCCTCTGACAAGGCTGTTGTAGTGTAGACGTGGCTATCTGCTGCACAGGGGGTCAGCCGTTCAATTTACATCTCGTGGAGAAGTGAGCTACAGCAATCCTCTGCTCACCACTCCCAGTGGCCTGACTCATTACGCTAGTCCCTGGCTAATTGGAAACAGGAATTTCCATGCACATATTCTAGTGGGAAGTGAGGCTTGCCAGCCCTGGCCCTCTGAGTGCAGCTTTTATTTCATAAACATTTATGCTTTGGGTTTCTCTCTCTCTTTTCCTCTCTCTGTGAAAACCAAGGGAATGCACACAGGTTTTCTTCTTGTGGTTCCTGGCTCGGTTCATTCTTGCTAGGCTCTCTAGCTTGCCTCCAAGGAATTTTTGCACACAGTAGTTTTGATGTACAGCAGCTGTTGATAGGCCCTGATGTTCAATGTTGCTTTTGATTTCAGTTTGTAGGCCTTTGAAATTTAAAGGGGGTAAAGTTTTCATTTTGGCCCATGGTGAATTTTACCTACACAGCTTTCAGTCACAATCACCGGGGTTAGAGATGTAAATTGCCTTCAACAGTGTTGAGACTATACCCTATAAAATACAAGAACATCTGTCTTGTTACGGGAAATCTGATTTCTGGGCTAGCCAGTCAGATGTAAATGCAACCGACAATGCCTTGTAAGAAACCATCCCATTTTGCAAAAACATGAGCTTGCAACAGCACAAGCCTGACTCTTCTTCCTGTGAAGCATGCTTTTGTGTTCCTTTGACTCTGATTTGTTTTGGGTTTTTCTCCATCCCCCCCACCATCTATCTTTCTCATCTCTAGCCACGAGTTTGACTCTGAGCAGATCCCCGACTTGACTAAAGATGTTTACATTCAAGATATCCACTGCGTGGGCTCTCTCTGTAAACTCTACTTCCGCGAGCTCCCCAATCCCCTGCTCACATATCAGCTGTATGAGAAGTTCTCAGTAAGTACCAGCCGGTATCTCAGTTTCCACGGATTGGGCAACGTCACTGATCAACAGGAATGAGAGAGCCACCTGTTTTGTAAAGCCTGGTAACAGGGGCCATGTAAGATAGATTCTGAAATGGATCTTGCTGAAGATCTTTCTTTCCCTTTATGTTTAAAAAGGGTTACCCATGAAAATGAGGCTCTCGAAAACATTGGCTTAGGCCAGATCCCATTTGGGCATGCTACTCCAACAGCTCTGCTGCTGAATCCAAACTAGGAGGCCACACACTGCTGTGCTCATGTCCAACACTCCAGACTCTCAGCGCCTTTTGATGTTCCCTTCTGAGATCCGAGTGCAGTTGTGCCAGGGCACAATACCCTGCTCTAGACTTGCAGCACCAGGAGGGAGGCACATTGGCGGTTTGAATGATTGTGTGAATCCCCTCAGCATTTGAGGAGTCCCCAACAGAAACTAAAGATGTCCTCCAGTGGCACAGCCAGCAAGGGAGGGCATTGGTGGGAACATCTGCTGCTGCCCTTCTTTGGGATGAATGTCTCCCTCCCTGCAGCACAAGGAGTTGCCATCAAGGTGCAACTTACAGCTCTTGAGCCAGCTTCATTTAATCTTGCCTTTAATGTTAGCTGTATGCAGGCCCACCTCCTCAGCACACAGATACCACAGATGAAGGGGGCAGCCTAAAGGCTTAGGTGGGAAGGTAAATCCTGCAAATCTAAATGCCAGCAAACTGAGCGCCAGCCAGACTGTTTCATTTGCATTAGCAAACGCCCAGTGTTAGCATCTTAATTTGTTATTTTGTTCCAGGATGCTGTGTCTGCTGCTACAGATGAAGAACGATTGGTTAAAATTCATGACGTCATCCAGCAACTACCCCCACCACACTACAGGTTAGTTTGCGTAGCATTACCCCTCCACACTCCTTTCATTCTTTTTGCCGCTCTGACAGTGCACCAGGGTCCCAGCTTTCCATCCTCAGCCTGTCTAGGACGAAGGTCACCAATGCAGACTAAACCAAAATCATGTTAGGCTAAATATTGGGACTTACGCTGCAGCACAATGATGTCACTTGTTTGGAGGGTGAAAAAAAACCCCGGCCATTACACAATCGTCACTTACGAAGGGAAGGCTGACATTATTGTGTGCTTTCCGATTATCCCCACCTAAGATGGCCGCATTCTTCCTACATAGTTGAGCACGCTTGGAAGGATTGCTGACTGCATAACATTGACTTATATTTTAATTAGATCAGTAACAAAACAGACAACACATACTATACATAAATCTCATCTGCCTTACTCTATACAATATGCCAGGAGGGGGTGAATTCAGAGCCAAGTAGTCAGATTTCATTATGGAGAGGGGAGGTGGGTGGTGAGACTTTCCACAGGATATTTTTAATGACGACAAAAACCATAGGTTGAAATAACATTAAGGGAGAGAAATGAAGCAAGTAGCAGAAGGCTCAGAACTTTGTCAGGGGTTTGCCCAGCAAGGCCAGTTAATCTGGTGAGACGGATGAAGATGGAGCACCTGAAATCAGGTGAAAAAGGAGGCACTGCAGTAGTACACCTGTGGCAGCACGTGTGATGAACTAGCAGGATTGGCAGGGAAGGCGTTCTGCTGACAGCACAGGGGAACTGCTCCCCCACGTGCATTAAAGAAAGGGAGGGAGCATTTGTGAATGTGGCAGTTGGAAAAGCAGCATAGGAATCTGAGCCTCTCTTTTTTGTCGTCGTAAACTGCCATGCCATGCTGCAGCCACCCAACCCCTCTCTTTTCCGCTGGGACTCTCCCCAGCATGGCCTCAAATGCCCTCAGTTATACCGTAGAGCGGGGTCGGCAGCCTTTCAGACGTGGTGTGCCAAGTCTTCATTTATTCACTCTAATTTCAGGCTTTGCGTGCCAGTCATACATTTTAACGTTTTTAGAAGGTCTCTTTCTATAAGTCTGTAATATATAACTAAACTGTTGTTGTATGTAAAGTAAATAAGGTGTATAAGAAGCTTCATTTAAAATTAAATTAAAATGCAGAGCCCCCTGGACCGGTGGCCAGGACCCAGGCAGCGTGAGTGTCACTGAAAGTCTGCTCACGTGACGTGACGTGCCATCGGTTGCCTACCCCTGCCGTAGACTATCCCCACACTGGAGTGTGCAGTAACTGGCTGGACCATGCCTGTTTTACAGGGGCAAGTTGTTCTGTCCTGTTGGCTGGGTGGGCAGATTGGCCTTTCTGATGGTTGCCGTGATGCCAGCGTGCCATAAAGCAGTCTCAGGGGTGACCCTAACTATTTATACCATTGCAGGAGAACCTTGTACCCCTTTAGGACTTAATTCACAGTTTTTTCTATTCTGTGCCTCTTTTTCCGGTTTACTTTCCTCATGTGCCCCAGCCACCTTCCTGTCATTCATGGCAGGGGGCTGGGATACCTCAGCTTGCAGTCTTTGTCCTGTTCCACCCCAGTGGCTCCTGCTCTGTGCCCAGTTACCCTGGCCAGGTAGGTTTAGGAATGGCCAAAGGAGAAGGTTCAGATTTGATGGCACCAAAATATCGTGGGCTGCTCTTGTAGAATTTCAGCCAAAGCTGAGCCAAGAAGCAGCCCCCTCTTGTTCTGGGTAAGAGCCGTAAGGGCAAATTTGGCTAGATTCAACTCTGAGCTTTCCTCTCCCTGCCTTCATGCTGAAATTTAGAGTGGGTTGGATGTGAGGTTCTTCCTTTGACCCATTTCAGTGCCTGGGCTTTCGTATTGCCACCCGATCCCATCTGCACTGGGGGGACAGAGTAGCTCTGTAGTTAAAACCTCCCCTGAAAAGCCCCATTTAGGAAATCCCCATCAACCTAAAGCATGTTGTCTTTCCCAGCTCCCCTCACTTATTTAAGCTGTGGCCAGAGATGCTTCTGCAATCGCTCTCTGCCCTAATGTCTGATTTTAACGTAGCAGCCTTGTTCTCAGAACAGAGAGGGGGGCTAGGAAAGGAGAAAAACCTAGCGGAGAGAGAAAGCGGGAATGAGAGCCGTCACCTTTTACATGAGAGGTTTCAGAGTAGCAGCCGTGTTAGTCTGTATTCGCAATAAGAAAAGGAGGACTTGTGGCACCTTAGAGACTAACACATTTATTTGAGCATAAGCTTTCATGAGCTACAGCTCACTTCATCGGATGTGAGCTGTAGCTCACGAAAGCTTATGCTCAAATAAATGTGTTAGTCTCTAAGGTGCCACAAGTCCTCCTTTGCTTTTACATGAGATAACTCTGCTGCAAGTGTTCCCCCTAGTGGTGACTGGGCAGAGATGGTGGTTCACTTGCGGTTTCCTCCTCAACTTCCTGAGGCTTGGCTGTGCAGCCTTTTTGGAAGAAAAGAGCATTTTTATTCTTCTAATCATCTTCGGCCAAGCAAGAGTTTCCAGGCTGATGATGGTGGTGCTTGGCAGCACAGTGCAAGTCTTGTGGGGTTTTGTCCATTTCATCTCCCGTAAATGCAGACTTTTTCTCCCTGCATGTCTTTGCATAGGTCATGCGTGCAAAGAGAAACCAGGCAGGGAAGAAATGAAGACTGGACAGGGGAGACTTGAGATTGTGCACTCACCTCTTAAAGTTTATTGCTGCTACTAAGTGATGGAGCAGACTTAACTTGGGGGTGCTCATCGGCACTCTTGTTAGTGTGAGAGCAGGTTCTCTTGTACCACCTATCAGCTACACCCTCAGTGATCCACACTAGTACGATGCAGAACTGACCACCACTGCTGGCTGTAATAAATACAGTTAGCCCCTGAAAATTCCCAGGGGTGCTTGCCATCTGTGCTGCTGAAAAGTAATGGTCTCTGAGTGTGTGAATACTAGCTTTCACCCTGTATCTTATTTAGATGTATAAATATATATCTGCAAGTGTCCATCCTATAAACTAAAATATACCTAACAGAGATCATCCTATCTTGGTGCTTAAAGCCGGGATTTTCAAAGCAGCCTCTCACCAATCCCCTCTCAGGTACCTAAATAAAAGCATCCTCCGCCTTACACAAAGAGAATAAAATAAACCCCTTCCCAAAAGCCTGAGATAGGTTTTGCAGCATGCCCAAGAAGTTATCAGGCTCTGCCTAAGCAAATGTTTTATTTCTGTTGCACAACATGGTGGTAAAGCAGCCAAGTAATGAACACGAGTGACTAGCTGGTTCTGTAGCCTGTTGAGCTAGTGGAGTTGCAGGTATTTTTGCCCGCCCTTGTGTTCTGTTAAATCTAACAAGTGCACGTGCTGCTTCAGTTGGACAGTCAGGAGACCCTGCTGTCATTATCTGCCTGAGGCAACATTTGTGTCTTGCTTAGGGCACATCATTCCTTCTTTTGCTACCAAACAAATACAAATTAATTAATTGCATTTTTCTGTGCTGCCAATTGCAGCAAGGCTTGCTAAGGGGTGTTGAATGTTTGCCTGTCCGTTAACAGATTTTTGCATCTCTCTCATTTTTCAGGACACTGGAGTTCCTAATGAGGCACTTGGCTCATCTAGCTGATTACTGCTCCATCACAAACATGCATACCAAGAACTTAGCAATTGTCTGGGCACCAAACCTACTAAGGTACTTCTATTAGATTTTCTCTCACCTTCACATTTAAAACACACATCGAACCTGTTCCTCCAAGTAAACACTGCATGCTGAAGTTATTTCATGCTATGTTCCCAAGAGGATGCTAAATGTCAACTCCCAGAAAAACCACTAGGGTTTTGATTCGACAGTTCTTATTCAGGCACAACTGCTATTGGTTTTTCAGTGGGAGATTCTCCGGAGAAAGTGCTTGGAGACTGGGCAGGTTTGGATATGCTGGGCCAGGTCATCTACTGGTGTAAACAGCATCATTCCCATTGATGTCAGTGGAACTACAGCAGCTGGCCTTCTGGGCCCACTGGGCCTGTTTCACCATTATAGCTCCACTGATTTTGACAGAATTACTCCTTATTTACAGCAGTGTAAATGAATGGAGAATCAGGCCCACCTTTTCCCTCCAGTGTCATTTTTTTCCTCTCCCTTGCTTAGATGTGGATACCATCTCCTTTGCTCATGCAGGAAAACTGGTTCCATTGTAAGGAGAGTGATCACTTTAGATAAGCTATTACCAGCAGGAGAGTGGGGTGGGAGGAGGTATTTTTTCATGCTTTGTGTGTATATAATAAGATCTTCTAAACTTTCCACAGTATGCATCTGATGAAGTGAGCTGTAGCTCACAAAAGCTTATGCTCAAATAAATTGGTTAGTCTCTAAGGTGCCACAAGTACTCCTTTTCTTTTTGTGCCACAAGTACTCCTTTTCTTTTTGTGAATACAGACTAACACGGCTGCTACTCTGAAACCTGGTTCCATTCTGTGGCACCACTGACATCCCATTGCAGCAGTCTGTATAGTCTGACATGAATACATATGGCTAGTAGGTTTCAGGGGTGCTGGAACAATTTGTATAGTGCGGGTGCTGCGAGCCATTGCTACAGCCAACCCTGTAGCTGATGGAAACTGCTTCAAGCCAGGAGGTGAAGTAGAACTCCCAGCACCTCTTGTAGGTTTCAGACATATGGAAATGATCTTGCCAGACCCTTGGATAAACTTTGTCCTCTGGAATCTCCCATGTCACATGACAATCTTACAATGCCATCCCTAATTTCAAAACCTTACTAAAAAAAAAAACAATAAGACAAGGACAGGGGGTTTGGTTGTGTTATAGTTTCTGGACTGTCCAATTACCATCCTGACATATCCGACTCAGAGTCCCTCGTGGGCAGTTAACGAGTGTGAGCCAGTTTCTTCTGTCTGACAATTTTCTCTTGGTTGAGGCTGCTTTTGAATGTTGGGGTCCTTGCTGAGCAGGGCTAGCTGGAGATTTTTCCTAGCTCATGGGGAAAAATTCATTTAAAAGGCTACAGTGAGCTTGTTCAGGAAGTTTACAATGCAATTACAAGTGCACATGGAGGGAAGGAGACAAAACAGGCAAGCCTTCGACATGCCTCACTCACCTCAGTCTGAGCCTGCAACAGCTGCTCCTCCCTCCTCTAGGGGTTCACTGCTCCCATTGACATCAGGAGTCAGATCCAGACTGAAGTCATCACAGCACCAAATTCAGCGTGATGATTTGCATAGCTCTTTGAAAACTAAGGGAGTTACACCAGCAGAGAATCTGGCCCTTCAAGTGCTATCTGGATCCTAAGTGGTGTTATATACCTGGTCTCAGCAGAGCAAGTCACTATGCACAATGAGCCCATACATTGAAGTTTAATCTGCCATGCATTTCCTTAGATCGAAGCAGATAGAGTCTGCCTGTTTCAGTGGAACAGCTGCCTTCATGGAGGTCCGAATCCAGTCAGTGGTGGTGGAATTCATCCTGAATCACGTTGATGTCCTCTTCAGCTCCAAACTCAGTTCAGTCATACGAGACGGGGCAGGTATGTACATTCCTTGGGGGGTTTAATTGTACCAAAATTAGGGGCAGAATTTTAGCAGAAACTCTAGCCTCTCCAGTAAAAACAAAGGCCAAAATTTTCAGGGATGGGTGCCTAAAGTTGATAGATGTGGCCTGAGTTTTGGGGGTCTTGGCAACCTTTCTCTCCCATTGATGTTGATAGCAATCAAGGGTGCTCTGTAGAATTGGGCCTAATAATTTGACATCAGCGATTACTGCTCTTTACTCCTGCGATTCACAAATGTTTCTCTGTCTTGGAACAGTTGCAGCTTTTCCCTTGCGGAAGGTCTGTGGTAATCTTTAAGGGGCTTTATTACCAAGTTTTTGCTCCTGCACACTCCTCCCTGTCTTTGCAACACAGGCTTGTGCCATATGGTACACACTCTTGCCATCAAGGCCAGCATTTTCAAGCTTACATGCTGAAAGTGTGGCACCCTGACATACTGAGCAGCCACAGCTCCCGCTGAGAGTGTGAAGTGGTGGTTGTCAGCATCTCTAGTAACGGGGCTGCTTTAGTAGGTGCCTAACTTTAGACACTCAAATTTGGGCCCCACTTTTGATAAGAATCAGAGGGGTAGCCGTGTTAGTCTGTATCCATAAAAACGAGGAGTCCAGTGGCACCTTAAAGACGAACAGATTTATTTGGGCATAAGCTTTCATGAGTAAAAAACTTATGTCCAAATAAATCTGTTACTTTTGATAAGAAACATTTTAAATCTTAGACATTAAAGGGTCCATTTTCCATGGAGCCTGGAGGCATTCATTAGTATGGTTCTGACTTGTTAGCCACAGCAACTATACCCATATTCTTGTAATTAGTAGCCAGTTCCCACCTTTGGCAATGGTTCTCAAACAGGGGTACATCAACTGTTCCAGATGTGTGCCTGGTTTTACAACAGGCTGCCTAAAAAGCACTAGTGAAGTCGGTACAAACTACTATTTCATACAATTACTTGTTTGTACTGCTCTATATACTATATCAATGTTTCTCAACATGAGGGCGGGTGTCATGGGATGATGGGTTTTGAGGGGGTCTCAAGTGCAGGGCTGGCTGTCAGGGGCCTCCATGAAGCTTAAGACACATGCAGAAGCCCAAGCCCCACCCATCCAGGGCTCAAATCAGACTCCTGAAAGGGGTACAGTAAGTCGTCTAGAAAAGTTGAGAGCCACCGACCTATGGGATGAGGCTATGAGGCACCCCATGAGATTAGAGGGCCTAGCAATGAACTGAACCATATTGTACAGATCATTGGAATGATTAAAGGATTACTCATTTGTTTAGCCTGTAAAATTAATCATAACTGCTAACAGCTCCACATAGATTTTAGACAGAAAGTTACGATTCAGCAGAGATGATAATCAAATATTGATTAAAGGTATAGCTCCACTTGGACAGATGAGTTCTGCATTCACTCCGCTGTGTGATACACCAAAACACAATGAGCCCAGTCTGTGAAGGCTTTTCTTGGTGCAGAAAATGGTCATAGTTCAAAACTAAAATTCCCATTCCTTGCAAATGCCTGCTGTCTCCCCAGTGAAGTTACACCAGGGATGGATTTGACAGATTCATATATGTGCAACCCCCATGCTGTATTTCTAATAGATATTAAAATATAAAGTAGCTGATTTAATGTAGCTCATCCTTAGTACAAAATGGGCTTTGTCAGTGCAGTTGTCACTAACTGTGGGCAGAGTTAAGCTGTTTGCCAGTGTATTTGATGCTTTCCATTTCCGTGTTAGGGCCTCATTGTCTTCAGCATAGTAGATTTGCTGTCTGTCCAGCTTTCCACACGAGGCAATTATAAAGCAGCAGGAGTGAGGAGTTTGTTATGATAAGAGCCCCAGTTGAATGATGCAGGCATATTTCCACCCTGATTCTAGCTGATCTTTCAGAGTTAATTACACCTGGTCCAGGCTGTTTTCTTCCCGGGGAAGGCAATTATTTGGCTCAGCATGTTTGTCTGTGTTTAATTCGTTGGTTGCTCTCAACGGTGAGCAGGAATGCTGGGGCTTGTCATCTGGTAGTAGCAAAGCTCAGGGAACATTTTACAGGAGCGAGACAGCATGTAGCATCCTGTAAGGGGGGGGCGGCGCTGTACAGTCTGTGTTACCAGCGATGCTGCTGCAGCGTCACTGTTACTGTTACCCAAGCTAGCTCCAGTATGTAACCAGGATTGGGCCACTGTTCAGTGTACAATAACTTTTAAACATGGCTCAAAGGCCAGTGCAGACAAGGGCCTACATGCACATTTTATGCAGGGTTGGGTTGTTCAGTAAGCTGGCAAGGGATAATCATGTTAACATTGGCAAAATTCATACTCATAAGCGCAGGAAGGCTGTCGTAACAGGGTTGCATATGATTTACTAAACCACTCTATAAACTAGCTCTGTTATGACAGGTTCCTTTGCAAGGAAAGTTGACAGACAGAGTTGTAGCCCTGGGAAGTAATTTTAACTAGTTTTGATCTTGCAAAACGAAGTATTTAACTCACTTTAAAGAAACAAAACCCCAAACTTTATTTAAGTAGCAAAAAAAAAAAGGGGGGGAAAAAACCCACAACTACAGCAATAAAACAGTCCAGCTCTTAATTTATTATGCTCAACCCCAGTATTTGTTAGGAGTGATTTAAAGCATACTTACTAGTTGCAAACATGTTTGTAACATTTTAAATAGCTCCCCTTTAAAATGTTCAGATGTAGCCATTCTTCCCCATACTCTGAGCTAGAATCAAGATTGGGGAGTGCAAGTAAAACCAGCAATTAGAAAGAAAACTATCACCTTTCTCTACAGGGTTTTGAACCATTCTGTAGGATAACTGAAAATATTCTAGCCCTAGAATTCAGAGATGGTTACAAGCAAGCCACTATAGAATGGAGATCAAGTCCTGTAGGCTTCCAGAGTAATTGATACAGAATCCTAATGGTTTCCTCCCTCCCAGTTACATCCTGTAAGACTTTGTCAATTATTAATTCCACTGTTAGCTTTGCCATAATGGTGTGTGTAATAGAAGCTATGCTGGCCTTTTCTTGGGTTTCCAAGGGCTCAGGAAATGCTATAATCTATTCATGGGCCCTACTTTTCCTGCTGCGGCTCTGATTCTCTTCCTTGTCTCTGGTTTTCATTTGCAGGTCACACTTCCTTATCACGCCCCAAATCACTGCTGGTGTCCTCTCCCTCAACTAAGCTGCTCACCCTGGAGGAGGCACAAGCAAGGACGCAAGCCCAGATCAACTCCCCTATAGTGGCAGACAGTAAATACATTGAAGTGGGAGAAGGCCCTGCTGCATTACAGGGGAAATTCCACACCGTCATAGACTTTCCATCTGAAAGGTAGAGGCTTTTACTTTCTATCACTGCTGTGTTTCAACAGGCTTTTAACAATTACAGCCCTCTGACCTCAGCAAGAATTGCTTACAATGCAGGATCATAGCCAGTGTCCCACGCCCAGTAGGGATGGGGTTGTTCTGTATCCATGAGGGTGCAGCAAGACACACATGGCTCAATTTACACCTCAGAAGTTTGTTGTATGCCTTGAGTGAGCTGGCCATGCAACTCTCTGTCCCTCCAGAGATTCGTGTACGTACATGTGCATGGCGATGTAGTGTGGGGTGAAGTAGCTTTTATAGTGCAAATGAAATCCCTTTCCTGATAGGTTTAGTTTAGTTATAAATGGAGGGAACAGGTACATTTGCATATAAAATAAGAGGCATTCTTGGTTCAGACTCTGAATGCTGTTCAGGCCTTGCGCCTTAAAAATTCCACCTGCCCTGCTACAAGGAGGAAATGAATGTCCTTTGTTCAATGGGACTGACCCCACAAGTTCTGGGACTGGACCTTTCCAGGTAGAGGAGCATAAATAGGCTCTGCTGCTGAAATATACGTGTCTAGTTTTCTGCCAAAGCCAGCAGGCCAAGTGCAGAAGGAGTCAGGTCTGGTTGGTAAAACGTAGTGACTGGCAATGTGTCTTGAATGCAGATCCCCTTCTGCTTTCTTGCTCCAGAAAACGACCACCCAACAAGATGAAGAAATCCCCCGTTGGCAGTTGGCGCTCCTTCTTCAACCTGGGAAAATCCTCTTCTGTCTCCAAGCGGAAACTACAGCGCAACCCAAGCGAGCCCTCCGAAATGAAAGCCATAGCACTGGCAGGTAAGTAGGGTGCCTTTTGTTCCTACCAAACAGGGTGCTGCTGGGAAAGTAACCCACACTTAGCATGCTTCTCTGTTCCCCTCCAGTGCATAGGCCATAATCCATGAATAGAGGTTTGAATCTGCTAGAGCCTTTTATTAATGGAACCTGAGTTCTTTAGCTGAGGCCGTGGAGATTCAGTCATGCTTTTAGATCCGGGTGTCATTGTTACAAAAACAACGCAACGGATCCATCCCCTCTAAGATGGAATATTCAGGACTGACAGCTCAGAGTTCCTGGGAAAATTTACTGACATTACTAAACAGGTATAACTCTTATTCCAGAATAAGAGCGTGTTTTTCTGGTTTAGCTTGTCTCTCTTTGGGAGCAGTATAAACTAACCTGGAAAAGGGCCCTCCTTCCAGAGTAAATAAGGGAGTTTATACTACTATAGTTATACCAGTATAGTAACTTCCCCATGTAGACAAGTGCTTAGAATCACTAAGACTGTGTGTAATGTGATTTAGATAGAGATGTGCCTCTCCCTTACCCACAACCCCCTTTTATGTATATCCATCTAGTATCTCTCTTCAGATTCTCTTAAAATACCACCTTATAGTTTTCAGGAACTTTGAATCATTTACAATTTTCCTTAGTACAAAATGCAATTAGATTGAGGGGATGAAAGTCCCAACTTGGCCATATTAGGGAACCCTTGTACATTTCATGGCACAGTGGTTTCAAAAATATCCACAGACTTCCCCAGTACTTCAGGGTTAAAGTTAATGCTTATTCGGTGCCCACAAAATATGCAGCCCGAGTTCTTCCCTGCCTTTGGCTGCTTTGCATTGTGCTACCACCACAAAGCAGTACTAAAAGCTGATACAGCAACTAGAGGGGGTGAGGGCTTCCAATGATCCTCACTACTGTAATGCCCTTGGAGCCACTGGTAGATGGTGAAAGTTAGAGCAGCCTTCAGGCTACTCTGAATTTCACCAGTGGATCAGTGAGATACATTGTCCCAGTCAAGGTGCATCCTTACCCATTCCTCCCACTTCAGATTCAAGTGAGCCTGCACCCTGTCCCCCAAAAGGAATCCGTGTTAGGGAGCTATGGCCTGTTTGCTTCCCAACCCCTCCCTCTGCAGAGATTAACAGCTTGTTGTCAGTTTCTCCCTTTGTAGGGAAGAATATTACCACCCCCTAACCCTGGGCACCTCTGTTAATTCACTTGTGTGTGATGGAAGACACTGTAGAAATGCCCAGTAGTATAAATTGTGGTATGGGCTACAAAGAGGATACAGTTGTGACTGGAGCTTTTGTGTGAGAGTAGAAAAGCTGCTTATATTCAAGTGAGTGGTGTGGCTGGCAGAAACCCATCTATCTTCATGCCATGAGCATGCGGCAGATTATTAAAAAAAGCTTCTTTTATGTTTGGTTCTGTAGGTGGGAGAGGAGATAGTGGGACCCTGCGCTCAGCTAAAAGTGAAGAGTCTCTCACTTCCTTGCATGCTGTTGATGGTAAGATAGAAAAACTGGCTCACAAGGTGTAAAAGGCAGCGTGACATTTCTATAGACCTGTGAATGTTACAGCACTTCATGAAGTAGATGGTGGTATCCGTAACTAAGTCCTGGGCTTCTCCTGTAAAATCGGTTTTTATAAATAGCCAGCAACTGCCCAGTCTTTTATCTAGGAGGCATGCCGTTATTTTGGAGAATCTCTATGGCCTGTGCTAGACAGGAGGTCAGACGAGATGATCACAATGGTCCCTTCTGGCCTTGGAATCTGTTGCCAAACAGGGTCACACAGTGCTCATGTTTCAGTGTGTCTACTTTTGTTAGTGCATGTAACTCATAAGCAGTCACGTACCAACAACTTAATAGCGTCAATCCAGAGTGACTGAGACCAATGGGCGTTGTTCTTGCTTTGGAGCTAAATGTTGCAAAGCAGATTTTTGCATGACTGTGGTGGCAAAGTCAGGGCGGTTTCATCCTCTATTCCCACTGCAACATTAGGGTGTAAGAAAGAACTCATTAAAGTCAGAGCAAGGTTCAGGTAATTCCCCTTGAACCTGCAACTCCTCTGTAGGTCAAAAGTGAAATTAGCTTGGACTATCCTAGTTCTTACTGGAAGTTTATAATCACCACAAAACTATCTCACAGTTGTGTAAAAACTTACAAGGGACGTTTCTAAAGGTGAAGTAGTAAGCTGGGAACACTCAATCGACTTCATTTCACGAGCACTAAAATTTAGGCCAGATCTACACTAGAAGCACTTTGCCAGTATGGGTATCCCTGTATAATATCCTAGCAAAACTCTGCTTCTGCTCACATAGCTTCCTCCACTCCCCCAGCAAAAGCAGTTTTGCCAGTATACCTGAAACTGCACTACAGGCCTTTGCCAGCATAGCTCTGGCGGTCAAGGGTGACACCCCTGACAAACATAGGTAGGGGGGCAAAGTTTGTAGCCCTTGCCTTATTCTAATGTAGGTATATAGTGAATAAAATGTAATACATTACTGACCAAGAAGTCGCATTGCTCAGTTAACCCGAACCACAGAGGTGGAAAACCAATCTAGTAAACATGACCCCTATATAGCAATAATTCAATTTAAAATGCATTTGAAATCTAAGAGTACTTTACTGTCACTCCCCACCAGAATATCTGATAAAGCAAAAAGAGACTGACCCTAAAACCTTTTCTATTTGCCAAATGTATTCATATGCTTAAGAGATTTTTGCTAAGCTATTGACTGTCTAGAGCCCTGACTGAAGTGCAGTGCTCAGTGTAAGCTTACCTGTTGGGTTGCCACAGCTCCTTCACACCTATAGACCATACAGCTTTCTTGATGAGATAATTAAATAAAGGGATGCACAACTACTTAATGGACTAGATTTGCTTGTGCATTCACGTGGTACCATGGGCCAATGCAGTAATCTTCAGAGATCTTTACTGCATGTTATTTTCCTTCTAGGATCAAAAAGTAAAACCAGATTTTATTAAGACAGTGTTTTGTATCAGATCTGCTTATGTTTAACATTCACTTTCTTGACCTAGACCATCTTGGGACTTCGACTGCATTTGTTAACTTGTTTTGGGACTGTGTTTTCTAAAACCATTTGATCCATCCTACATCATCCAGGCAAACTAAACTTAAATAGGTTTATCAACTGTTTTAGCCTAGCAAATGGTTTCAAGTACATCTACATTAGTTTCCCACACTCTCTTTAAACCAAGTTAGCCTGCACTGACTGGTTTATTATTGTTTGTATTACTTTAGTGCCAGGAGGCCACAGCTGAGATTAGTGACTCATTGTGCAGAGTTTTAAACTAAATAAAAACAGCTAGTAACTCATGCAGTTTTTAATGAACATTTATCTAGTGCCCTATTAATGCTTATCCGTCTCCTTGTTGCTAGGTGAATCTAAACTGTTCCGGCCTAGAAGACCCAGGTCCAGTAGTGATGCACTGTCTGCTTCCTTCAATGGGGAGCTCCTGGGGACCATGAACCGCTGCAATTCTTATGATAACCTGCCCCATGACAATGAGAGCGAGGGGGACGAGGGGCTGATTCATGTTCCTGCCCTCATCTCTCCTAGGTCAGCGGAAGATGTTGACCTGAGCCCACCGGATATTGGAGTAGCTAGCCTGGATTTTGACCCTATGTCTTTTCAGTGCAGTCCACCCAAGGCAGAGTCTGAGTGCCTGGATAGCAGCATCTCTCTGCTGGAGTCCATGGGTTTTAACAAGGACAAGCCAAGCATAGCTAAGAAGGACTTGGAAGCTGCTAGCCAGAGTCAGACCCCTGGCAGTGCCCCGAGCTCTGAACCAGTCTCCCCGTTCCAAGAGAAAATGAGTCCCTTCTTCACTCTGGACCTGAGCCCAACTGAGGAGAAGGTCGCCCATGCCTTCTCGCCTAAGATGGGGCGAAAGCCAATCAAGTCTCCGCTGGTGACTATGTCAGAGCCGGTCTCTTTGACACTGCCCAGACAAGCGTGCGATGGGATGCCTAGTGCTGCGGGGAGTGCCGCTTCTTCAAACTGGAGCAAAAGCATTAGCGCCAACGAAGCCACAAACAGGTCCCCAACCCAGAGGGTGTCTTTGCCCCTGAAAGCCAACGAAATGGCAGCAGGTGAGGGATGCCATCAAGAGGCCCAGACCCAGGTGACTGCTGCCAAGCCAGAGTTGCAAGAAGAAGGGGAGCGACCCATGCCAACCAGCCAGAATAAGACTGTACCTTCTGGACACACACAGCCAGGTACAGTGCGTTTTCCTCCATTCTTTCTTTAAGTTCTAAAGGGACCTGCTCCCAGAAACTTCTCTGCGTGCCTTTTAGGAAAGGGGAATATCTTGCAGGGCAGTGCAGGTTGCTAAGGTCTCAGTAGAAACCTCTGTCTTTTCCCTCCATCACAGAATTCTTGGATACTTTCCACAATACCTTATGTGCCCCCCTTTGTCTTGTTTTTTTCATCCTATCATAAAAAATGAAACAGTTTGTAGCGTACCCTTGCATATCAGTTAACAAGTGAATTGACCACCTGCCAACACTTGAAGAAGGGTCTTTTTTTCAGCCCCAAAGCATGTGGTCCAAATTGGTTAAAGGGGGTCTCGTTCTCTGCCTTACCTTCTTCCTACCTCTCTAGAAATGCAAGAGGAATCTTTAGACAATCTCTTGGTGTGGTTTTCCTGCTGAACAGCTGTACTATTCAGCAACGGTTGCATGTGGGACGGAAGATACAGTATTTCACATCAAGGAAATGCTACTGTGAAAAGCCTCTGTTTTTTCATAATGGTCTATAGGGTTAGGTCACTATCCTTACAGAGTAACAAATCTCTCTCTCTCAATTTTCCCCCCCATTAGGAGCAGTTGCCCTCGACTCCCCCCAGGATCCTGTTCCTGTCAGTTCTGTCTCTCTTATCCCTCCTCCTCCTCCGAAAAATGCAGCGCGCATGCTGGCCTTAGCGTTAGCTGAGTCCGCACAGCAAGCATCTACTCAGTCCCAGAAGAAGCCAGGAGATGCTCATTCTGACTGTACAAATTATGGAGAGACTGACGTAGCTATAGAAAAGGTCCACCTCTCTGCTGGGGCTGCTCCAGACAAGCTCCATTTCTATACTGGTGTTCCTGAGAACCAAATCCACCTCCAGAGTGGGGGACCTGTAGACCAGGACCTCACTAGGACACCTGGGGACCGCAACCATCTACACAGTAGTACACCTGGAAATAGGGACCAGCCCCATCTAGATACTGGCATGCCTGGGGACCTGCATAGTGGCACAAAGGTGGACTGGGACCACTCCAACTTCCATACTGGAACAGTGGGGGACAAGGACCACTTCTCCTTCCATCCAGGTGGCCCTGGGGATTGGGAGCGCACTCCTCTCCCTACAGGTGCTTTGCTTAGCCAGGAACCATCCACAACAGATGTGCCTATAGATAAGCCCCACCTCCATACTTGCATATCTATGGATAAGTATCACATCCCTGTGGAGAAGCTTCATCTCCCTGCCAGCACAGCTGATGACAAACTCCAGCCTCCTCCTGTAGCTGCCAGGGAGAAAAACGCCATGGCTACAATGACATACATGACAACTATCCAGACACCAGCAACTGAGATGAGTCATGGAACAGCAGGTCAGGACACGGCGGCTGAACCCGTGGCTCAGGCAGATGTTATTGTCACGACTGCTCAGCGCATTCTTATGACCAATTCCCTAGCACCATCTCAGAGACCAGCAGACCATCAGCCAGCCATGGGACAAGTTCCAGCAGTAGCCACCAAAGGATCAAGTAATTCCAACCACGTAAGTGATGCACACATAGACCCCCACCCCGTGTGTGTGTGTGTGTGTGTATATTTATTTGTACATACAGCATCTGTGTGTAATAGTAGGGGTGGAATTTTGAGAAACAAAGTATGGGCTTATCCACAGAGGAGCAAGAGACATACTTTCTGCTCCAGATTCCCAGGAATTATTAGTGTATGTATAATATATACACCCACTCAGAAATATCACAGTATATTCACTGATACTTTCCAGGGAATACCTACCCCAGTACACTCCCTCCTACGCTAGTTTTAAGGGGAAAGACACTTTCCCCTTCTCAGTGATGCCAACATACCATTATTCTTGTCGTCCCACATTGTTTTGGAAACAAAGACTTGGGTCCTGGTAGGAAAGTGGGCTGTGTGCAATGAGTAATTTACACATAGCTTTGAATACAAGAACATGCTTTTGGTGTCTTAACTAGCATCCCCTAGCTCAAACATGCTGTGAACTTCCATCAGAAGTGGCTCGAACAAACCCTTTAGTCTCTTCTTAAGGATGGTATTTTTAACAGTGCTGGGATCCCCTTAGCCAGTTAGTGGCACAGTTCAGTAACAGTCCTGAATCCTGGGATTTGGTTGTAGGCTCAAATGGCTTTAGACATCACAATGCTACATGATACCAACTTGAGCCACACCAACAGAGCAACTGCATTCACACACACTTGGAATCTAAACATTGTCTGACACACACTAAGGAATAGTGTTGTTAATTCACAGGAAGTGAAATATTTGTACACTACTGATATACTACTATAGATCATGCATTAACTCAGAGCTGCGTATATAGATTTGAAACAAGGTTCACATGTGCTAAAATACATACCTTTATAAAAGCCACCTGTCAAAGTGTTCTAGGCTCTGTACAAAAAGTTTTGGCCAATTGGTCTTTAGAAACCATAGACTGACAACAGCCTTCTCCTCACCATTTATGATTACAAAAATAAATGGACAATCTCAGCACTTCCCAGCCCATCCACTAAGCCTGGGGAAACCAGGTGCAAATTGCAGCATGTCCCAAAGATCACTAGAATACCTCTCAAAAGGCAGCATTGCCCCTGCTGTCAGCCAGAACACCCCCTGCACTCCCATGTTCAATCCAGCAGCCTGGGCTATATTGTAGGGGAGTGTGATACATTCTGTAGAGCTAATAATACGGGTATCCAGTATAGAGACTCTGCAGTGGAGGGGGAGGGATTCTCACACACTAACCTTGATGTCGTTTCTCCATACTAGGTACGAGGAGCACTGCCTCCAGAAAAGCCAGCTGAGCCTCGACTAGCCGAACCTGCTCCAGTTTTTGTCACCGAAAGTAGTTCCGCTACCCGATGTACTTCGTCCACTGCTGTGTCCCACCAGGGCCATTTGGAAAAGGCCCGGGAGAACGTCAGGGCTCCCTCTTTGCACCTGCGTTCCGAGTCAGTCCCTGCACACTCCTCCTATGGCTTTGCACCCCCCATCCCGCCCGTGAGGACACTGGAGAGTAAGATAGCTGCAGCCATGCACTCCAACAGTCTGGATACAGTGAATACCTCCACTTACCATTCCTTCCTGGCTTCCTCCATTCTGCCATCGTCCGGGGAGGAGGCCTTGCCCCCACCACCGCCGCCCAAGCATGCCTCTCTGCAGTCTGCATATCTCCCCCATCCCAAGCCAGAGAGTGCCCCTGAGCCGCCCATGCCAGAGAACTATCTGCATCACAAGCCAGCGTCCGTCCATCAGTACAGGCCAGAGAGCGTCCCACCACATCTCTCCTACCACTGCAAGTCCGACCAGCACCAAGCTTACGCCTCCAGATCGGAAACGCCCACATCCATGGGCCCTCGCTACACCGCCTACCCCAGCCAAGGAAAGAGCACATCAGCCCATCACTCCAAGCCTCACAGCCGCATGGAGTACACGTCCTCCATGAGCCCTACCACCCTGCGGAGCACCGGCTACGCGGAGGAGGCTCCGCCCTACCCCACCATCCGAAGGGTGCAGTCGCTGCACGTCTCCACCCCTTCCACCATCCGCTCCGTCCCCATTTCACGGACAGAGGTGCCTCCCGACGATGAGCCCGTGTACTGCCCGCGGCCCCTCTATCAGTACAAGCCATGCCAGCCCCACTCAGATTATCATGTCACTCAGCTGCAGCCTTACTTCGAGAACGGGCGTGTGCATTACAGGTATAGCCCTTATTCCAGCTCATCTGGCTCCTCCTATTACCCCACAGCAGCAGAGGGGGGGGTTTATGACCTGGACCCCTACAGCACGATGCGGCTCAGGCACTTCCACCCCCTTCCTAGCCGAGACTTTGCATCCTACACCTCGAGGCTGCAAAGTAAGAATCTGTACCGCTATCCTGGCCTGCCTGCCTATCCTCGGGGAGGCCTGATGAGTCACCTGGTGGGAAAAGAGCACAGCTTTATCAGCAGAGATGTGCCCCCAGCCCCGGACATCAAGCACACGTACGTGTCATGGGACCTGGAGGACATGGAGAAATACCGCCTGCAGTCCATCCGCCGGGAGAGCCGCTCACGCCAGAAAGCGAAAGGGCCAGTGATGTCCCAGTATGACAACCTGGGTCCGCTGCTGCAGGAGGAGCTGGACATCATCCACCTCCGCAGCAAATCCGATCCTGGGAAAACTGGTCTCCTGACTGTGGCCGAAGGGAGGTATCCAACCACGGCAGCCACCCCTGAAGGGGACGAACGTTACTATCTGCAGCACTCAGAGGCGGAGCCAGACAGAGCCCATTACCATGGGGCCTATGGGAACGGGCAGTCAGAGAAGCCTTCCCTTCCCCAGAAGCAGAGCAGCATCAGGAGCAGAAAGCTGCACGAGCCAGGCTGTAACGCTACAGAGCACAGGGGACACCTGCAGCAGGAAGCAAGCCATCGGCAGCCTTCGGAATCCAAAAATGGGCCCCCTTACCCCGACTTCAGGCCAAAGGGTGGCCAGGAACCCATGGAGCCCATTGGTTTCCAGCACTCAGGTGGGAAGTACGTCACAGCCGGCCAGGAGGCCCTGAGACTCAACCACAAGGAAGCGAAGCTGGCAGAGGACCGGCCAGACTTGGAAAGGCCTCGAGCCAGGCAAATAGCTCCTGGCGAGAAACACACCAGAGACTGCTATAATAAAGAGGAGGAGCACCATGTCCAACCCATGGCGCCACCTCCCAAGCCAGAACGGAGCCAGAGCCTCAGAATCCGGCATCCGGAGAACATGGACAGGGACCCTAGCCTCCTGTACCCATACCAAACCCTTGGCAAACGCCAAAGCAGTATGACAGTGTTGTCCCAGTACGATAATTTGGAGGATTACCATACCATGCCTCAGCACCAAAGAGGGGGCTACCTTGGAGGAGGGGGGTTCATGCCCCCTGGCTTTCCCCATTCACACAGTAGGACATACGCCACAGCTTTGGGCCAGGGGGCCTTTCTCCCTACAGAGCTGTGTTTGCAGAGGCCGGAGACAGAGATCCATGCTGAGTGAGCTGGGGGAAGGAGGGATAGAGCCTAAGCAGCCTCTGCTGGACAGTGGACTGTTTTATTTTTTCAATGACAAAATTTAAAAAAAAAAAGCACCCCACTCTCAACCCTGCCACCAGCTCACCACTCAATGTTTGTCCTAGGTGTATAGTTTTCTTTCGTGTCGTTTGAGAGGTTGGAATGATCGTGCAGGCTGTGTTGGAATGCGGAAAGATGAGCCAGGACCCAGAGAGGCAGAGCAGATCTGAAAGAGGCATGGTGTGGAGGGGAAAAGGGGTTTTCCTTCCCCTGGTTTGACACGGGCTGCTGGTTGCATGCAGCTTTCTCTTGGCATATCCAGTCACTCTCCCAGCTGCCAACATTAGAGGAGTTGCATGGATACGTTTTACCCTTTGAATGAGATGCCAGGGGGGAGTCTCTGTTCTGACCCTTTCAGATTGCATCAGTAGCACACTGCAAGCTGTGGGAAAAGGACAGCTTCCAAGTGTTGGTTTCCTCCTAGATTATTGGTGCTCTGCCTCCCCTTGAAAATTGTGCAGGGGTAGACAGAGATTGGCCCCAAGACAGAACACAGGCTGGTTTTTAAAGGCTCATCAAACAAGCTGCTTCTGGCTATAAGAAGGGATATTTACTGAAACTCAAGCGTTCACCCTCATTCTGTAAATGGAGATGAGCTTTGAAAGTAAAAAAACCTACCCCCTCTCCCCCACACACACACACTTGGGTACAGGTGATTGAACAGCATACACATTTCATGCTAATTCCTCTTTACTTACAGGCTACCTGCAGTACCAGCTATTTAATTGCACGTCCTAGCTGGCCAGAAACTACTATCTATTTACAATGTCACTAGATGATTACGTCCAGCTTGTAAACTAGAGCACAGGTTCCCTGCTGGGAGCGACTTGCACAACCATGGAGTTGCTCTGGCCCAAATAACTCAGTCCTTCATGGAAAACTCCTGTTGACTTTCATATGCGGCCTACAGGATGAGGCCCTCACTCATGAGATTGCAGTGAGTTGATGTAAGCACAGAGCAGTTACGTGCATGCTATGAAATAGCATTGCCTCCCTTCAGGCAGCGGGAAGGGAAGGGACAGTGCACTTCTTTACAGCACACACCTGGTGTTGCCTTGCCTATTTAATAGAAACAAGACAGCGTTTCATCTGCAGCCTCTCTGGGTTCACAGCCATTTTAACCCGGCTATAAATCACATACATTTTATGAGACAGGGCTTCCTAGAAAATCCTTGAGATTTAGCATTTAAAACATTCAGAGTTCACCCATGGTACTGGGACCTTTCATGTACTGGTGGATCACACAACATCTCTCCCTGTTTTGAAATTCAGAGGGTTTACTTAAAGAAAGCACCTGAAAAGTTCTCTTAGCTGGAAGTCCTGCAGCTAGCATAGCTAAGATTATTAAAGGAACTCATGTCAGAGCCTCCTAGAACAAGTGTTTTATTCATTGCTATTTTGGGCTTTTAAAGTAATAATAAAAACCTGTCAGCGCTCACAGGGGACCACCACCCTTCTAGTAGGTACCTAGTCATTAGGATTTTGGTTCTTTTACTCTCATAGCCTTTTCTGGGGCTGTTTCAACTAGGATAGCCTATGGTCTGATTTTATTGTGCAATGTATTGTTTTAAGAAGAATGTGTTCAATATAGAGTTTTTCCTAAATGTTATGGAAATAAATTTAGCTGTCAGGAAAAAAGCACTGTGATCCAGGTTACCTCAATATCATTCACCTTGTGACTAATTATCAACTAGAGGGTATTATTCTTTGGGGGTGTGTGAAAAGGGCTGTTAGCTGAGAACACGGGGCCACTTCTGCTAGTAAATCTGGCTTTCCCCAATATAATCTGTCCAGGGGAGTCTAGCTACAGTAGTCAGTCAAGCTATGTTTAGAGACTAGTATTGGGTCTTCGCACTTCATCTCCCCTCTGCTGTTCCAGAGTGTCAGCCTCCCTTGTTCTGGATTTGGGGCAGGTACAGGCTATTCAGGTGACAAGGACAGCCTGTCAAATCTCTCCCCCTCAATGCCTTAATTCTCTCCACCATCCTCTCTGTGTTGGCCTTAAGTTACCCAGAGAAATAGCTGAACTAAGCTGCTTTGAATGTCTTTGCTCATTTGCTTGCTCCTATAGGGCATAAACAGTATCTCCAAAAGATTTCCACTCCTTACAAGCCGTAGCAGCAAGAGACAGAGCCTGGGATCTCCGCCTGATCCATTGTTCACAGCACTCTACCATCACTGGGTTCCTTGGAAGTCAAGGCCCCTCAGCACCATACAGGAATGGCCCCATAAGTGAACAACTGACCCCATCACTAGGGACTTGTCTAGACAAATTAAATTAAATTAATCTGGAATAAAGGTAGGGTGTGACTTTAGAGCAAACTAGCTATTCCTGGTTAACCTCCATGGATGGATGCTCTTATACCAGAATAAGAGAGCTTTAGTCCAGATTAGATTAATCCCTGGATTAAACTAATTCAGATGTTCTTATTCTGGAATAAGAGCCTCCACGCATGGAGTTAGTCAGGAAATAGTGAAGACAGACAAACTGATTAATGGCGTCACAGGTTGTGCCCACTCTTGGCCCTGTGCGGTCCCCCCTTCAGTAAGACAGCCCTTCTCGGGGGTCGCCCTCTGCATGCAAACCATTGGAAACACAAGAAAATCCACCACTTTGTCACAACATCTCTGTGATAACAGCCCTCTAAGAGATCAGGGATCTTTCTTTTTTGTTCCAGCATGAGACATTCATTCAGCCTCTTCCCTTTAACGTACTTGGGAACGAGTTTATCCCTAGTCTCCTCCCATGCCCAGCCTTATCAACATGTGATTGGAGGGCCAGCAGCCCTGTAAGAGTCCAGTGTTAGGGCAGGTGCCCTAATGAAGGGGTGAGACTAGAGCAGCAAGCAAGGAACATGAACCCTTCATGGGCACGCGACTGCTAACAGCTGCTAATATTTTGAACCTTCTTTCCCCCTTGACAAAGCCATATAGTGAACTATGCAGTTCTGCTCTTGTACTGTGGTTACATTTTGGAACTTGATGGCCCTTAGAGAAATGGTCCCACCCCCTTCATTAGATTATACACCCAACAGTGTCCATTCTTCAGGAAAAAGGGGACGGGAATTGCCCCAGGTCACTCAAGAGTCTCAGGTGGCCCTTGGCCAAGTAATAGTTGGGTATGATGCACAATATGACATATAGGGGGATTATTTAGAAGTCCCATCAGTGAATGGGGTAAGGAGGGGAAAAAATAGGATGATAACGTACCAACTATGTGCCAGATTCCGCTCATCTGTAGTAACCTATTGTCTAAGTATAACTTCAGTAAGAATCCATGAGCAGTAGCAGATTTGGCAAGTTCCCTATACCTGTATCACTGCCTGCCTGCCTCTTTATTGCCACTTGCTGAGTTTTCAGCTTAATTTCTCATTACCATGTGAGAGAGTTTGGGCCCAGTTCTGCTCTGGGAGTGGTGCAGAGATCTGCTCTGGATTTGCACCTGCAACTCAGAGCAGAATGTGGCGCATAAAGCAAGCTCTCCAAGAGTACAGATGTTGAGCTAACAACCAAGGCATGGGCCCTGGCACATCTACTTCAGTTCTGATTTTAAAAATTCTGATCAGGTTTAAACTTTATGCATATGACAGTAAAAACTTTGTGCCTACAGGTCTTTACAGAGGTAATAGGCTTGTGCTTATCGCTTGGGGGTGGGGGGTAGGGGTATCAGTGAGGATTGCACAGGTGTAGCAAATTGCTACACAAAACTAAAACAAACTTGAAAAATGTATTGTTCCCTTTAGCTACAAAAGGGACAGACCCTCGTGTGTAGTCTTTGCCATTCATCTCATTGGTATGTAGACAAAGCATTGACTGAAACAGTTTGTAATGTGCTAGAAAATCTGAATGAAAAATTGCATTGAACATTTATTTTTTAAAGGGCCTGTGACACTTTTCCAGAACCTTGTGCTACAGAAGTCTGATGCCACAGACATGGTGTAGTTTAAAGAGGTGTACACAGTAACCCCAGTGCGTGCAACCATTCTTGCAAAAACCAACACGCATGGTGATTTTTGCAGTTCGTTTTCCTGCTGTAGAAATTTGACCCTTTTTGCCCTAAGCCGCACGAGAGAGAAATCCCAGAAAGCCTTAGGATTACCTTCAGCGTTCCCTTCACTTTAATTTATAGAGTGTCTTATTTTCATGTTTGGGTTTTTTTGTTTTTGGTGGAATTTTTGTGAACTAGTGTAAAATGTATATGCTGACAAGCTCATGTATTTTTATGTAAATATTTTTGTGGTTTTCCCAGCCCCGCTCTGTAAATACTTAGATTCTCATTTTCTTTCCACTTTGTATGATGCGGATGTGGTTTTGTTTTCTGTTTTTATTTGTACTGTAATGCAATGATCCAGACTGAGGTGTCTTGTAGTATTTAAAAAAAAACAAGTCAGCAGTTCCACTGAGCTCACATTCAGATGTACAACCCAACAGCATTAATCAAGCCAGGTTAAAACCTACTCCTTTACATTTGTGTGTGTTTGTGCCTCGGCCAGGTTAATTAACAATATACTGAAAAGCGATAGGGCATGGGAAAACTAGTTTAGAGCCATGAGGTTTTGGGGCCAGGTACCTCGAAAGACAAGAGAGGTGATGAGTGCTGTATTTACGTGCCAAGCCTATTGCAAATTGCTGCCTGTCAGTCTGTCCCGGCGCTTATCTGTTCAGTTACACCTGTGGCATAACTGTTCTGAAAAGAAAAAATAAACCAACCTTGGCTTTCCTAGTCTCCTTTTCTTCTCATCCCGAATTACTAGGCAAGGAGCAATGCTGCAGGAGTAGCACAAAAGGGAGGTGGCAGTTTCCTAACAACAGCGGGATTCCAAAATTGGGTTTGGCCATTAAAACAGGTGGATGGTGGGAGAAGTGAACTCTTGTGGGCAGGAACTAGCTGTACCCCATGACTAGGGAATCCTGAGTACTACTGTATTTACAGGTATCAACAAAATTCATTAAACAGCATCAGATTTTTCCCCTGCAGTCATCGTTTTCTGCCATTAACATGGTCTAACCATTTCAGTTGATGCCACCAGCCTACACCTACACCCCCACCCTAAGAAGTTACATCTCCCGCTCCTGAAAGTAACCCTGCAGACTGAATGCCAGTGGATAACACAACATCTTTATACAGAGAAGCTCTCCCCCTCCTTGCAAGATAACAGGAATTTCAAAGGGCTGCTTTGACCGCTCCCCATCTGTTTTAGAGGTTTTAATGCTGCTCTTCTCTCACAAGTCACAGCATTTAGGGTATATCTATACTGCATTGTAAACCTGGATCTGTGGGACATGGGCTTAGTGTGCATGTTACACTACACAGACAACCTGACTCAGGTCCACACTTTGACCTGAACCCCGGTCTTCTGCATCCCAGATGTGTGCCCCAGCCACTGGGCTACTGACTGTAATAGGCCACCTGAGCAGCTGACCTGGCTTACGTGCCTAAGACCAGGAAAGGCATCACGGTTGAGAATCCCAAGCAGAGGCAGGCGCCTACAGAGTTAGGCACGTCTTATTGGCTAGCTTAGGCAGCTCCCAGTTGGCTTGTTGGCATCTGTGAATCCCTTCCTGAGATGTCTAACTCTCCGTGGCCTATTGGGGCTGTAAATTCCACTGGGTGGCAGGGCTCAGCGTTGCAACCCACTGACGTCCCCTGTGTGAATCAAGCCCTAACGCTTTTGCTGCACTAAGAGATTCCGGGGCTCACATCTTCTACAGCCCAATTTCCTGACTGCCACCTTTGTTCTACATTGAATGCAGCAAAAAGGGGAGTCAAACTAATTATTAAGTTAAGGGGGCTGCATGAAAACAGGTGTCTAGTAGAAACAGTGCAGTCTTGTGCACATGATGGACATCATACTGTGCTAGAAGGGTTAGAAAAAACAATGGCAAAGATGGAGTGGAAGACGGGGGGAGAGGAAAACCACCTAGCAACCAGGGTTGCTGGGGGGGGGGGTTGGTATAAATAGTAGTGCCTGAAAATGAAGCAGCAGGTAAACACCAGCAATCTGGGGGCCTGTTTTAAGCTCTTTATAAAGCTGCTTTTCATCTGAGGCAATAGTCCATGCATGTCTAGGGAGCATCATTTGGAGTTTGGGGGAGTGTTTTTAACCCTTCTGAGTCACAAGTAACAGCATGCTGGCCAAGTGACTCTTGGCAGTCCCTGTCCGCCGCATTGCCTTCAGGTGTAACTAGGACCCAGTGCACAATCTGGATTCGCAAAAAGAAAAGGAGTACTTGTGGCACCTTAGAGACTAACCAATTTATTTGAGCATGAGCTTTCGTGAGCTACAGCCCACTTCATCTGGATTCTGTTCATGGTGCACAAGGAGGAATAGACCCCAACTAAGCTCACAGGAGTGAAAAACTAGGTGCACGCACATGCACACACACCCCCCAGCTCTGACAGCACCATTTTTAGAGTCTCTTTCAGACTGAAGCTGTCCTTTAGCCATTTGCCCTGTAGTTCGTTATCCAAGACCTCCACTCAGAGAAGGCACACAGCACCACGTCCTTTCTGGAACTACTCCTTGCTCATTTTACTATCTGGAATTTGCTTTTCGTGGCTGTTGAAACAGGTGAGTGAAACCTGATCGCCTTGGTGCCAAGTATTCATGCTAGGAGAGCTCAAATGTTTGCATAAAGCGAGCGGTCACACAGTGAGGTTACCCCGATTGGAATGAGTAGGCAGTTCAGACATCGGACATTCAGGGCAGCGGGGTCCAGCTAGGTGGCCCTAGCCTGTTTGAATTAGCGAGTGCCTCATGCACAATCCGACTGGGGAACCCTGAGGTGCTCACCACTTTATGGGGCATGTAAAGTAAGAGAGCTCCAGAAAATAAAGTTTCTCTCAACTGGTGGCTTTCAAAGCTGAGCTGGAGGTGATCAAGCCCAACTCAGGAGACAAGTGCCTTTGACAGCCTTTTGTCAAGCCATCCAGCCTTCACCACCTCTAAAGATTGCTGCTGCTCAACGGTGCCTTCCCTTAATCTGAATATCTGCAACAAGTGCTTTTTATTTTAGAGTGGCTTTCCTCCAGAAAGATCCCAAAGAACTTTAAACTACCACCACATAGGAACCACTGATACAGAAAAACAGCCACCTTTGGGATGTGGGGCAGAGACTAGGTAGCACGCTACATGTCCACAATGAGTGGGCCAGACACACACGGGCCAACCCGTTCTAACAAACGGGGCCACAGAAACTCGAGTGTCCACAGCAAGCCGACAGCATCTCTCCTTATCAAAAGGAGTCCCCCAAAAGAGCCACAAAGATACAACTAGCCCAGGGGTTCTCAATCTTCATTGCACCACCACGCCCTTCTGACAAGAAAAGTTACTTCACGATCCCAGCAAGTCTAAGCCAGCTATGACGACCCCATTCAAAGGGGGTCAGGACCCACTTTGGGGTCCCGACCCACAGTTAGAACCGCTGAACTAGACAATCAGTGTATGTGCCACGTGAGAGCTGGGCCAGCCTGGCCAAGATTGGTCTGCAAGTTTTTAGGAGTCATTTCCAAAACATGATGTTTAGCTCAATAAAGCCATTGCTAGGGCCTGTCGCCAGCTGACAAGAATGGTCTGAACACTCTGATAAAGTCATTTCTATAACCTGAAGAACAACACTAACTTTCTCCCTGAAGTCCCAGGATGAAGCACTCCCAAGCCAGGAAGTGCCCATGCTAAGGTCACAATAACATACTATTCCCCTCCCCACCCCAGGACCCCTCTGTAAAGATCAAACACACTCCATCCATGTTAGCCAGGCAGCCTAGCTCCATGCAGGGGAGCTAAGGAAGTGGAAGCCACGTTGCAGGCCTCCCAGCAAAGGCCTTTTTCAGGAGGGACTTGGAGACAGTGGGAGATCTCAGGTCGAATCAGAGGTTCAGTGTAGGTGGCGAATACCACAAGGGACTGAAGTTTTTGTTTGACTTGGGCAGAGCAAAGGGGCAAACGACAAAAGATGGAGGGAAGAGAAGAATGCAAGCAAGCACGCAAGGGCTTCTAGCTCCACCGTAGCTCTAGGCAAGTGGCACCTCATAACTCTGCTGAAAGGGCATTTCAGGACAGGCTCCAGCAAGGCTTCTCAGTGAGCACAACAGCCATCCCTTCCCACCTCCATGGTCTCCCAGGGCAGACTATTTCTCCCCACCCTCAATGTTCAAAACCCAATATTGGCTATGTCCAGTCTCATCACCGCAGCCAGATTCGTGGCTTGCAGAACTCAATTACTCAACGGAATCAAAGAGAAGGGCAAGAGCCAAGTTTATCTACCCAGGAACTTAGATGGCCCTTCACTACCGTGGTTCATCACCATAGCATTGGAGTGTCTAGAAGCATTCAGGCAAGCAAGCAGGCTTGGATCTTAAGCAACCTCCCCTGTTCACCATGGAAATCTCTCTCCACAAGCAGCACTGAGATAATAGTGAAACTAACCCACTCAGGCAAGGACATTCAAAGGACACACAGAGGTGTTACTGGAAGACATTCAGGGTATGTCTACACTGCAGCTGGAGATGTACCTTCCAGCTCTGGTAGATGTACACATGCTAGCTTTGATCAAGTTAGCATGCTAAAAATAGCATTGTGAGGGCAGCAGCCTAGCTGGCAGGAGGGGCTACTCAATGAAATTTTAAATTTCTGATTCCGAACGCCCCAAAGCTACTCCTGCAAAAGGTGGTTAAAAGTTGATCCTGAAAAACATTCAGTCGCAGACAGTCACAAAAACTCACGGGCTGCATCCAAATATTAAAGAGCCCTTCATCATCCCAGCACAAGACAGCTCCAAGGGCATTTCAGGCCACAAGGCAAGGAAACCAAAGCTTCAAGACAATATGTGTAAGGATGTGTAAGGCATTATTAAAAACTGATACCACCCACCAGGGTTTTGGCCCCTTAACTCCAGTCCTCACCATCGAAGTTCTATCTATAGAGATGAAAATGTGGGTCTCAATTAAGTTAGCTCAATCAAGTCGTCTTAACTTGACTGACACCTCCAGCCCCCTTCAGTACCACGGACACAACTAACATTTGGTCTGGTCGTACTGTAGCCTGGGTGGGAGACTACAAGTGATCCCAACCAGCACAATTGACCTGAAAGCTGTTCAACTACAAAGGGGAGGGCTAACTCAACTGGGCCTTTATGCCCACATAGAACAAACTCCTGGTGTTTTTTCTTCAGCTGTGGTCAGTACGGTGGAGGGAGCTCTAGCTTTGGATGACTGGAGCCACGGGTGGGTGATGACAGAACCGTTCACTCCGTTTCTATGTAGATTGAAGATAGCCACACAGGCTTGAAATAGAAAGCACCTAGGGTAAAATTAACACCGGTGGGAGAAGCATGGTCCAATGAACAGGTCAGTGGCCTTTGAGTCAGGACACTTGGATTCTAGTCGCACCTCTGCCACTAAATTTGCTGTGGGACCTTGAGAAAGTCACTTCAGCTCTCTGTGCCTCAGTTTCTCCACCCAGCCGGCATCTGTCCTGACTAGTTAGACTTGGGCAGGGACTGTCTCTCATGTTGGGCCTGACTGTGGCCAACAACCATGCAGAGGATCGGCACAAAGGCTTATGCACCACTTCAGGCCTTGTGCCAATCCTCTGCATAGTGGTCAATTTCACCTCTAATAAACGGAGCGTCTTGCCACATCTAAGCTATGAAACCAGGCTCGGGGCTGAAAGACCACGCAGAGAGAATGTGTTCCACCTGTTCCATCCCAGCTGGTC